CTCAATGTTATTATAGGCTGGCACTAATTAATGTTTTTATAGTCCAGAAACATTGTTACTGGCAATATAATGTGTTTTAGATTCAAGTCTGAAGATGAGTCGTATTTTGCACGATCGCAGCAAGTTTTTACTGCCCAGCTTAACTGTTTTTCCAGAGATATCATTAAGTTAGCGGATATTCCACTTAAAAGAATTGCTGGGTAATGCAAATGACTTATTACCAGTGCTTTCATTATCAAGAATCTTGTTTTTACTGGCAATGGCTTTTTGATTGATTGAAGTGTTTTTATTCCGCATGCCATTTTCCTTAGAATCGTTTTGATTTCATCTTGGAATGTTAGAAACTGATCTAAAACTACTCCTAGGTATTTAACATTGGTTTTTTCCTCAATTATTTCATCATCTAGAGTTATAGTATACTTGTCATCCTTTTTCCTTGAATGTTTTTGCTGAAAACGATGAGTTCTGTTTTTTGCAGTTAACTGAAGTGAGTGTTCTAAACTTCTACAATTAAGGTGTAGTACTTTTAAGTTGTTGTTGTAGTTTTCCAGTTTTTTCTTTATTTGACTGAATTCCATGAAGGGTCCTGGATTTGGGTGGATATCCCCTGATGTTAGGATAGTTTTACGAAAGGACCTTTCTTGTTTTTTGTAAGTCTTGCTTGTGTTTTTTATATCCTAATTGTAATATTATTAGCTTATATTATTAAGTATAGTGCAATAATATTTATTCGAGAATATTGTGGCAACCCATGGAAAAATATACTTTCCTTTTTTTTTATTCAGTACCTTATAAATTACAAATTGATCGGTTTCGCAGAAGCTGATGACAGATATGCTAGTTAAGACAAAAAGTAACAGCATATCGTTTTGTAGAACAATTTTAGTTAGAATAACAAATAACAGTTGTTTATCAAAAAGATAGTCTTAACTAGCATTACTTAATAATGAAAACCTTGCGAGTAGTTATATGACTGCTGGTTACGGTTCAGATTATGGTTATAATTACTATCACAGCCCCATGAGTTGTTGTTGAAATTATTTTGACCAGTTTGTCGGCCATGACCAGTTTGTCGGCCATATGCGTGCATGCGATCGTTACTATAGGGTCGATTGGTAGACCTATAAACAAAAAAGCGATTTTTGGTTGGAATTTGCTTTTCCAGTATAATCAGGGGCTGGTTTTAGCCTCGGGAGTTTACTTGAGTGTTTGAACACGAATGAGCCGAGGCAGTTGCGCAAAAATGATATACCTAGTTCATCGTTCAGGTGTATAGTGTCAAAATATAAACTCTGATAGCTCTCCAAGCTTTTGACGTTTGAATTTAGATTTAGCACCTCAAATCCCGTCGTCGAACCATACATTTCATTCAGAAAATGATTATAATGATCAATTTTGTCATTAGTATCATCATTGTTAAGTATTGGCGGTCTTTCGCAAAAAAAAAACAATCGAATCTGATGAAAATTTTGCAGTTATTAAAGCGATAAGTTCTTCATATTTGGCGCTAAAAACATCAACCGTTGAGTAATTTTTTTAAGATGGAGTTTGTCCCATCTTGGAATATCACATACTTAAGTTTTTTTCAAAATATTGGTCAAGGACTTTTATTTTCCTCTCAGTGGAGCTACCCGTGTATGCATGAACAACCGTATCATTGGGGAAAGTTTCAGTTTTTTTCCCTAGCAATTATACTTGAACCCAAAATTAGGTTTACACACTCCTCTGGTATAGGAAAAGGCGAGAAGCTTCTCACAGTTTTTGATACTTCTTTTGTTTTCGTCGATGTTGACTGTAGTTTGCCATCCTTGTCTGCTTTCGATGTTTTCTCAATAAACTCCATTATTTTACGATAACCTTCCTTTTGGTCGTACATTTCGGAGTAAATCTTGTATAATGCTGATTTTTGAAGTCCATTAAAATTTTCTTGGCTGAGTTTTTTTGCTTGACATGTTTAAAATGGATGCAAATGACTGGTAACTGGAGGGACAGTATTTGATTATGACTTCAGACCCTGTATTTCTGCTAAAAAATTTAATTTTAATGCTGAGATAACTTTTTTTTGCAAATTAATTTCCTTTTTCTGCTGAATAACTTTTATTCTGCAAAAATAGGTTTCTTTTTTCCTTTCCCAAATTTAATTTGTTCGCTCGTCTGATTCGATCAAGCAATGACTTCCTGTTTTTCTGCTGATAAATACGTTCTGCTAAAAACAACTTTTTTCTGCAAAATAATTTTCTTTTTTGCTGAATAGTTTTTCTGCAAAACAGTTTTCTTTTTCTGTTGAATAGCTATAATTTTTTTTTCTTCTAAATAGATTTTCTGTAACTGTTTTTTTCTTTTGCCAAGTTCGGTTTTTTTAATACAGATTTTCGAATAAAGCCTGTATGGAATTTTCCAAATTTAGAGTTTGATAATATAATGTACGGATGTTTTGTTTTAATTCGAAAAAATTTTCTAGTTCAGACTAATCTCTATCTAAACGACTGTATTTTTGTTTTTAGAGAATTTTCGTTTAGTGCTTGAAGGTCAGAAAGATCAAAAGCGAAAATAATGAAAAAAAGAGCAAAAAAAGCCGACTGATTTCTAGCTCTCCACTCTTTTACTGAGCTTGAAAAGGTGCATATTCAAAACAATCCCATACAAAACAGTCCGATACAAAACAGCCCGGCTTATTTTTGCGGTGAGAGTGCTAAGAGTGCGTCCCTGCTTCTTTGTGATGATGGCCTTCTAGTTTTTAGGCAAACTACATCTGTTGACAAGCTTCAAGTTTCTACATCTGTTGGCCTTCATCTGCTTGGCAAGCTTGCCACGCATTTGTGCGACTGCTGCTGCCGCCACTATTTTCTTGTTTAAACAAAGAACAATTCTTAGTTATCGGTTTTCAGAAAATTTGTACTCGGAACTTTTTTGGACTAAATTTATTGGACTATTTTTCAAAATTTTCATGTTTTTCTTGACTGTTTCAAGTTAGACTGTGTTATGTGAGACTGTTTTGAACAAAAGATTTTAGAAAGTATTCATTTGTCATACTTGCACCAAGCTTCCATGAATAATAACAGATTATTTATCATTATAATTTCAATCTCTATTAAATTTTGAAAGTAATACAAAATAGTTAATTTAAATTAGATTATAAAACTACTAATTTTCAGCAATGAAACCAATTTTAAGTCATTTAAAATCAATTATAAATGACTAAAACAGTTTCTGCCAAAACTAATCAGGCATTTTAAATTTTGATTTACTTTTTACTGAGCTTAAACTTGAACATTGATTTTGCAAACCACAATGTGGTTTATCTAAATTTTGGCTAAAAATAATTTCGATTGGAACTTTTGTTCCATTTTAGGAAAAAATTAGAAAGTTTGATTTCGATCAAAATATTCTAAGAATTGCTTAAAAAGGACGACATTCTCAACATCGAGAAAAACTTCATTTTTTTTCAAACCTCCACTACCATACTTTCATTCTGCCCACTTAGCCCCTCCACTATTAGCGGATTATAGTGGGTCTTAATTCTATCTTACGTTCTAAAAAGGTAATTATAAATCTTTATAATGAAGCTTATTCAATCTATGTATTATTTTATAATCGGCGATTCCGCAAGCAACTCCAGTGCCGGTACGCAGTTTTACAAAAATACTTATGGCATAGAGTAGATTCTTTCCCGCATTATTCTGAGCTCTTAAAAATAGTTGTGGTGGGGTTATTTTTAGTATCATTTAGAAACCCATCCAGGCATGAGTCGGATCGAAACATATTTTAGAAATATTTTTCATCGCCAAGAAGACGACTCTTTGTTTTTCGACATTCCGACTCAATTTTTATTGTTTGTAAAAAAAATCTGACATTGAGATGACTACCCCAGATCTTACGCTACTAAGTTCGTTCATTTTTTCACGCCTTATGATTTCATTTTTGAAGTTTAAATTTTAAGCTTAAATTTTCGAAGTTATATTCCGTATCCCTCATTTTGTCTGCTCCAGGCCCTTCAGGCAGAAAAAAATTTAATTCGATTTTTCATACAATCAAAAGCCCTGTTGGTTCAATGTTTTTTTCTTAGGTTTGAAAAACAAAAAACAAAATAATTGTGCTCTGGGTCGTTTTTCAAATCAAACTTATAAAAATTGGTTTTTGGAAAAATATGCGCTCCAACAGAAAGTAGTTTTCCAACTTTTGGTAACTCAATTAAATATTATAACGATTCGAGCTCATATCTAGAGAGATCTAGAGAGCAGGGGCGCATTTAGGGGGGGGGGAGCGGACGCTCTCTTCCCCCTCAGGAACTCGACGCCCTGCCGACCCTTTGTACTATTTTGAGATATATATTTTCGGTGACGGACCCTAAAATTGTGCTAAAGGAGCCTTAGGCGCCAATGGTCAATGTACACTAATTTCGAGGGGGAGTGCGCGACAAACAAACGCGATTTATTGGTCAAATTTTTCCAAAAAGTGCTTAAAAACGCCTTTTTTGGCCTGTTTTTTTCTCAAAATTTTGCCTGCGGCGCAAAAAAATTGGCCAAAACAAGGTCTTTTTGGTGCTTCAGGGAGCTTGGAAAATCAATTTGAACGGCCTAAGAAAAGGTCAGACAAGATTTTCGATTTTTTTTGAAAAACGGCCCCCAACCTCCTTCGAGAAAATCCTAGATCCGCCGTTCCAAAAAAAATGTCAAAAAATTCCGCTCAAGGTCAAGAAAAATGTGTCTGAATTTATTGGCTTCTCTCACACTTTCTACACCAAGAAAGAAAGAAGGAAAGAATTTATTTTTCCGATAGGTAGTTACATTCAGTGACCGAAGATGAGTTCGAACTATGATCTTATCTTTTTATCTGAGGATACTTTTATCTGAGAATCTACCACTGTAAAACTGGAAAAACATATGAATTTTTGTACCATTTTCAAAAATTGTTGCAATAAATACTGTTTTGGGAACATTCTGATATTTTTAGTAATTTGGAGCACTTCTGTATTTGTTATGAGTGGTTAGTTTTTTTAGTGAGCTACCCGCAGCAGGCGTACGTGCCCTTATCAAACAATGCAGACGTTACCTTGTGCTGTCTGAAACTGTCTATTCCGGACTACTGTCTCCAGATGTGTGATGGATTCAGCACTAGAGAACACTTCAGCCAGAAGAAGATATGCGACCAGGTTTGTTAATCTAGTTCTCTCTACCCCCCCCCCATTTTTTGGCTTTTGTAATAGCCGAAAATTGTGAGCAGAAAAACTAGTTAGCATGTAGGGGGAGCCGTTAATCTGAACTCAAGCGCTAACAAGGATAGCCGCTTGCTGTGCAAATAGAAGCATTCATAAAAAACTACATTTTTTTAAATCATTTTTTTTTTCAATTTAGTGTCGTTTCTTGTGCGTGGTGTGATGAAAAAATTATAAAACGCGTACAAAATTAGATAATTTAAACATAATTGACAACAGTTGTCTTAAAAAATTATAACTACCAAAAAAATGAAAAACAAAAATCTAATTTATCAAAAAACTATTGTTGCCAATGAAGCGCTAAGTGAATCTTCCAAAACTAGTTCGTTTAGAAAAATCAAGGTTTTTTTTAGCTTAAATGACTAATGTTCAGAACGAACGTTACTTACTCTATCGCTTTACTTGCTCAAAAATTAGGCCAAAACTCAAAAATTTCTAATCGATTTCTCTCGACACTGGAAAATTTTTTGTTACTCGTTCTAACTACGACTAAAAGTGCCTTAATATGATATATCACTCGATCCATTCGGATGATTATTTGTGGAGTCTGAAATTGCGTGGAAAACAAAAAAAACTAAAACACACTCGAATACAAAGTTCCTCTCCCTTTTTAATTGTCGCTCAAATTGTACAATTCAAATGGCATAGTCTAAATCACCCGTGCCAAGGGCTTGCACTACACAGAAAGTCATTTTAAATCAACTAGTAGCGTGCACAAGAAAAGTAGTCCACCCTTCTCTTCATCAATTCTGAGGGCCCAATTTTTCCGCGAAGCAGAACGTTCGGGGCTTTGGCAGATTGGCTGTTGTTTTTATTTGTTAGCTTGATGTCTAAATATTTAAACCTTTTGCCAGTAAGAACCTGACATGTGTTTAGAAGCGACTATATGTCTGTAAACCATTCAGCTGGAATTAATTTTACCTTGTTGTTTTGAAAGCCCTCTGCAATAACAAATCAACTAAATAAATTAGGTTACATGTTCAACTCTACCCTAAAATAACTTCCTAGCGTTCAAGAAAAGCTATATCAATTTTTTAAATTAAACAATTGGAGTTATTCGGATGGACATGCTCGCAAACCAACAGTGCGTTTACGGGGAGCGGGCGGAGGAGAGACCGCCTCTCTTTTTCCTCCCGTCAGGGGCTCGACCCCTTGGTTACCCATAGGTTCCCCCCTTTATACTATTTTGAGATATCCATGCCAAATTTTCACGCCAATGTACCACCTAATTATGAAGGGCGAGCGCGCGCCGCAAAAACGTGATTTTTTGTTCAAAATATTCTAAAAAGTGCCTAAGCACACCTTTTTTGGCATGTTTTTATTTTCAATAATTACCTGCGGCGCAGAAAATTTGGTCACACTACGGTCTTTATAGTGATTTGGGAGAGCTCAGAAAATCAATTTAGTCAACCTAAAAAAATGTCGTCAAAATTTTCGACATTAAAAAAAATCCGGACCCACTTTAAGAGAAAATCCTAGATCCGCCCCTGTCCCTAACAAAAAATGTTGCAGGACTTTTTCGCATAGGTAAAAAGAGCATTTACAACGCAGAAAAGTGATTTTTTTTCTGAATAGATTTTTTTTCTGAACTAGCCCAGCTTTTAAACCCGCTTGGGTTTAAAAGCTGGGCTAGTTTTCATAATAACCATTTGACTATTTAAACGTTAATTTTTTTCAGGTCTACGAAGAATACCGCAAACAATGTTTCCGCGCAAAACCGGAACCCCCTCCCGCTAACACCCACGACAGCTTCACCTGGATAGACCCTAACCCCAGACCCCCACTTCCCCCGTCGACCCCAGACGATACCCAGCAAACCAACCAGATCAAACCAGCGGAGGGATTCGATTCCCGCGGAACCCAGTCTAAAGACTACGTTTTAAGTGATTCACAAGCTACAATTGTCATTACCAAAAATGGAGAGAAACAGCAGGCGAGAAACGGGTCGTCGCACCCCCTCCCAATTTGGTCACGTGATTATTCATGGGTGCGATGTATCGTGTTTTTATTTGTGTTCACAAGACAGAGTTTATTTTGTGGCCGCTTCATGTGATGATTTTGCATTATTTTTAAGTTAAACTGACCTCTCCCCCTTTTGTGGATGACGCCATATGCACTTGATGAAAGAATACGCTATTGTTTTTTTTTTCAATTTGAGATATATTTATTTTTTAATCTTTTCTCTCTCAGTCTGTTAATATACAGACAAACGCCTTGAAAGTACTTGTGTGAGCTTTGGTGCAGTTAAGCAGATTAAATTCGTGATTGATAACTTCTTTCAAGCTTCATTACTGTAGCAAACATATACTACAGGGAAAAGGGGATAATTTTACTCTTACAATTCAGGCAATGAGATGGCAAGAATAATACACTGGGGATTGACAGAGGTCTAAGGTGTTGTTGATTAGGAAACAGACAGGCATAACATTTAATGCTTTATGGGCACCAAATGGTACAATTTTAGGGGCTTATGTCCTCATAAATGACAGCTTAATGTCTTTAATCGCACACTGACCAACAGACACACACACACACTATTTTTGCACAACGTTTTTCAGGTATTTGCAACAGGAAAAAAAAAGAAAAACGAGCATTGCAATGCCGTGAAAACTACTGAAATTATTGTTCCGACTTTCGTAATGAAAGTAACAGAATATTTGCGCTCAGGTTGCTTTTTTTCTTCAGACAAACTTCGAATTTTTAATTAGCTATTTTTGGCAAAAATTTTCTTTATCATTCGGAAGGTCCTGAGCTTAAAAGATTGTCATTCGGAAGGTGTTGTTGTCCTGAGCTTAAATTTGAAAAGACTTTTCACCTGTGATAATTTTTCGTAAAGTTATGGGGGTTTAAAGATTGGCATTATATGGCGTGTGGGGGGATGGTTTTCACAAAAAATCTCAAATAAAAAAAAAATTAATTTCTTTTTATTACATTTATTTCGTCGTGTTTGCTCCATAGAATTAAAACAGTCGCAACATTCAGGGCTTCGCCCTGATACGAGCAGTCTTGTTTTATTTAATGACATATTTTAGTTACAATTTAAGATGACAAGTTTTTGCGTTTTCTGGCGAATTCGTTAACAAAACAATTGCTGTCATGCACTTTTCGGAAAAAAAAGCATTTTGGCTCACAAAAATTGAATCATTTACCATTACCTTTTGACTGTTTTATCCCGAAAACATTTCTGAAGCTTTAAAAACTAAATGCCCTAACTGATCAAAACTTCATAACAGCAGTTAAGTTTTTTTATCATTCAGCATAAAATGATCTTCAAAAAGTTAAGCCCTAGGATGTTTGAAGACATAAATTAAACTGTGGCACTCTGAGAGACTTCATTCATTAAAAACCAAAAGATTTATGGTTCCGACATTCAGAGAAAGCGAGGAATAATTATTTATGACTTTTGAAACCAGTAATCGAAAGTGAAAATCTGAATTAACATCAATGACATCAATAAAATGAGGGGCTAATCGTATGTCAGAAGAAACCATGGCGCGAAATTTTCTAAACATTGGACGCTTTTAAAATTTTCGAAAAGAATTTTGGATTTTTTTGGTTAATTATGAGCTTTTTTCTTCCAAAGTTTCGAAGATAATTTCACTTCATAAGTTTACTCCATTCTGATTGGCTAACATAAATTGCGGACATTTGGTTCATTTTTCAGATAGGATTCCCCTGTAAAGTGCTCGATGGAAAAATTGGAATTGGATCTGTATCCGTTTCACCTCTGTCGCTCAAGATATCAGTTGATTTTGAGACACTACAAAACAGATCCATCATCCCAAGTGTTAAGCAGGCATGTTTGATTGATGAGATTTTAATGAGATTAATTTTCACCAACGTTACCTTTCATATACACTCCAAATTTCCCGTGTTTCCCCTTTTTCTTTTTTTTCATTCAACTTTCTTTCACTACATTAATAACTGAACAATTTTTCAACATCACGAAATCAGTTTATAAATTGTATGCTCTGCATTGAGATTAAGTCCCGTCACGCATAACTTTGGGTGACATGATAACAACAGTTTTTGAAAATGCTCTTTTTATTTGTACTTCCGATGATTGATTGAGCCGATTTTGCATCAAATTATTCGAACCTAGTTAACGTCCCCCCTTAGCTTGGTTCTAAATGGGAATTTTCAGCCACTCAGAATTGATCATTTTACATGCAGCGCCTAGCAAATATAAGCAAATATAATTTGACTTAAATGCTGGGGTGGAAGATATTAACTTCGTCTATATGAGGTTGGGGGGGGGGATTTATGAATGGATTTTTGACGATGCATAATTCAAAAACAAAACGTTTTCGAAATTATTGAAATTCTAAAAAATGTATGCTCCTTGAGATAAGAGGGAACACTTAGTGTGTTTTGTTAGCTGCCGTTCGAACCATTTATTGACTCGTAATGGAATTATTTATGGATACGGATTCATACCTAAACACTCAGTGGTGTATTAACACGTGTGTAAAAAATCGTGAATCAATGACCCTGTGAAATATTGATGATTATGAAGCATGCTTGCCATTTGCAATGCATTATACACTTGATGTAAAAAAAGCTAAATAAAAATATGACAAAATGATGTCAAAAACGGGCGTGTTTGTTCATTTTTTATTATTTAACAGTTTTTTTTTCTTTCAGTCACAGAAATAAAGCCGCATTTCAGTCGTGCTTGAAAAAAAAACGTTTTAATAAAGCTGAATGATTTGTTCAAATGCGCAATCAAAAAGCCGAATTTGCAGTACTTGAAGGGGTTTTTACCAAAACTATAAGCGAAAAGATTATCATTTAATTGGAATTCAATCTAGACTAGAATCTCAGTCGCCTTGGGGAAATGAAAAGGGTAAAGGGGTAGGGGTACGTAAAATTTGAGAGAGAATCAAATTTTGGGTTGTAATAAAGCGGGATCGAGAGCAGAAAACAGGCGCAGTGATGTCCCGCCCCGTAATACAACCGAGGTAAAGACCTATGCAAAGAATAGATGTTTACAAAAGCTTGCAGAACATTTCTTGTTTTCATAGAAAACAGCAAAAATTCTTTAGAAAACAGCATAAAATAAACAGGAAGACTATTTCAATTAAACACACATAAATCCTGTATTTTTTTTTACAAATTCTGCAGTTGTATCGAATTGCATTGAAATATTGCCATCAATTATACTTAAAACTGCGTTTTTGAAATCTCTCTCAGAAAACCCTGAAGGCGTCGAAAATTCGCGTGTCAGTCATTTATGAAACAAACAAAAAACATCATTATCATCAAAATGAGCTTCCCTTTTCTCATATCATCAGCAACTTTTGCGACAGTAGTTAAATTCAAAAACAAAACTTCTTTCGTCTTAATTCAATCAAAAATATAGACAACAATTTTATAAGTATAAATAATTTTTTTACCATTTTCGGATATGAAAAAGTGAAGAAGAGCGTTTTCAGTGCCAAAATAAAACAAAAAAGCTTATGGACTGAGCGTACACGTAATCTGAGTGAAATTGATTTTTTGGGCTCAAATAACACGCATCGGTCAACTGCCAATTTCATGACATTAAACCCAAAATGCATTCATTTGTACTACTGGGCGTGCAAATAGAAAAAGGTTGTAGTTTAACCTGATAAAATTGCATATGAAATTATAAAAATAGAACACCAGAATTAAAATTCGGTTGAAATTGTTCAGGCTTATTTCTACTTGTTCAGGATAAAAATTCAAATTTCAAGGTTCAGGGAACAAGGTAATTTCAAGGTAATATCGTACTCTCTGACGTTTTAGGGTACGGGTGGGTGTAACTTGTTTCGGCTGAAGATTTTACGTCATCGAGTTATATTATTCGATGACATGAAAAGTTCAAGCATAAACTTATTATATCAAAATGAATAGACATGAGCGAACCAAACGCTTGCCCTTGTAACGCGGATTTTCAAATTTCGAAATTTTTGTTTTGCCGAACTTTTTTTAGGTCGACCAAAATGATTTTTCGAGCTCTCCCAGAGCAGTTTTTTATCCTTTTTTGACCAAATGTTTTGCGCCGCAAGCAAAATTTTGAAAAAACAGGCCAAAAAAGGCGTTTTTTGGTACTTTTTGGACAATTTTGACCAAAAAATCGCGTTTTTTCGGCGTGCGCTCTTCTCTCAAAATTAGTATATATTGGCGCCTTTCGAAAATTTTTGAGGTCCATCATCAAAATGGATATTGGAAAATAGTACAAAGGGGGTACCCTTTGGGTTGGCAGGGGGTTGAATCCCCGAGGAAGGGGCGTCCATACCCCCCTCCCCCCAAAAACTGCAATTGGTTTGTATGCACTTTTTCAAAACGCCAGTAGCAGAAATGAATGAGACAGTTTGCGTCTAGCAAGACATTTTTGGAGAAAATTAACTTAATTGATTTCAGATTCAAACTACAACATTTTGCTGAGAATGATTGATTCGCTATTTACGCTTTAAAGCAGAAACATAGAAAAAGGCTGCTTGTACCAGGGCAAAACCTTGAAGGCTCCGACAGCCACTTGAGTTGATTAAAAGCTTTTTGAACAAAACTAATGAAAGCAGAGTAAGTTTTATTTCTTATTTTATTTATTTATTTCATCCCCTCACGCCATGTCGAGCACAGAGTGAGAAAAAAGATATCTAGTAACGTTTTGATGAGAACAAACTGCTTGTATCAAATGAAAAAGAATATTTTACTTCACTGCATAATCTAAAGGACAAAACTTATTGCGCGTTGATTATCTCAATGAAAATTATAGCCGTCAAAGTGAAACAAAATAGCCGTCAAAGTGAAACCCAGGGTATCAAAATATTTCAGACTGGTTGGAAACTTCCGTCAAAAAATGCTAGTTACCAAGTCGAAAATTGTCAAGTCAAAAGATGTCCAGTGCACAATGAATCCGGAACCTTCTTCAAACGCTCGAAAATTAAACCTCTATACACCAATTTATACAAATTAACTAATTTAAAACTCAAAAATTCTGCAGATATCGTTTACAAGTAAAAATTTTACTTTTAAGACTAAAACATACACTAGTTAATTCTATTATAAATCTTCTATGAAATAATGTTGTTTTGATTATTATTACTTTTTTTAAAATTTCGATGCTTTTTTTCAATGTCCCGTGACAATTAATTGCTACAACGACTTTTTTTATAGAGGATATATACGAGCGGATTTTTTGCCTAGCAGAGCCGCATCAAAAGCTTTTAGATCAATACAATGGACTTTTGCTGGCTAAAAATTTGTCAAGATAATCGATTACCGCAAAAAAATTAGGTCATAAAAAATTTTTCAACCATTTTTTTTTTCAAATTTTTTTATTGGAAAAATATATATTCCTAACCATTTTTTATTTGAGTATGATTTAATTTTTCCCCGAATACTTTTTGATCAAAAAAACTGAAAATTGATTGTCTTTTGTTGATGTGAAGAAAAGTACTCTAAGTTTTGTATCTTTCTGCAAAATTCGAAATCAAAGAAGCTAATTAAAATCAAGCTCAACGCTACTTTCCCAACACTTGACCCTAAAATGAAGGAAAAAAAAACAAAAAGAAAAGATGAAATCGCAATTGAAGTTGGTCAAACAAAAAAAATCTAATTTAAGTTTGTATTTACTATTAGCAAAAAAAGCTAACTATAGGAGATAAAATGTTTGTTGTAAAGCAATGTTTTGGGTTGAAAAGAAACTAATAATTTGAAAACCATTCGGAGATAAGTTGAAAAACTTGCTTGCAATCGATCCAGAATGTTTTTTTTTTTGCTTAAGAAATTAGAACCAATATGATCCAATTTTTTTGATTACTATGGATTGTTTTAAGTTCTGCAAACGAAGACTTTACAAATCTAATATGTTAAGTATTAATCATGAAATTTTGTGCCGAAGGCTTGAACCTAAATTTATCCTAGAATGTAGAACGACTCATTATCTGGACTCGGCAATCAAAACTCATTTAGAACTTTTCAGGTTTTTCTTTGATTAAGAGCAAATCTCAAACTTAAGTTTTTTTATCTATTTATGTGCATGTTATCAACTTTTTAATATAATTTATCAAGGTTCAGGGAACATAATGTACGAGTATTTTACCTATTTGTGAGCAAATTTCTAGCTCTCATTAAAAATTTCACTTAGAAAGTTGGTAATTTTGAACCTTCTACTGATTTTAGGGTGTCGGAGGTTGTAAACTTATTTCTAAGGAAGATTTTATGTCAT